ATATATATATATATATATATATATATATGGATTTATTGAACTGAAAAGGAGGTAAAACTCTTTTTTTTTTTATTTCTTGTATTCAACGGAAAAAAATCTGTTCTTTATTTAATTAATGCATTTAATTTTTTTAAGAGTTGTTTTTGTTTTCCCCCTTTGTTTTTGGAGTATTTTTTTTTATCCTTAAGAAACTTAGCCCCAAGGTAATCTGAATGCGGGTTTGTGGTCACCGCTTATTTAGGGTAACATTTATCTCACGAGTTGTTAAACAGGCCTCTCTCCCGACGAATGACCCAGCACCTGTCCAAGGGTTTTATTCTTCCCTGCAGTATGATGACTTTGGCGCTCTGGATGTCCCGGATTTAACAGCAACACTTCTTCCATTTCAAAAAGAGGGTGTTTACTGGATGGTGCAGCGAGAGCATAACCATGTTGGAGGAATCATGGCGGATCACTTGGGAATGGGAAAAACGGTACAAATGATTGGTTTGTGTCTTTCATCACATCATTTTAACAAGGTTGTTAATGGAACAGTTCATCAAAAAATGCAAACAAAAGCTGCTGGTTATCGTCTGCTCACTGTTATTCGACAGCTACAACGTATAAGTGTTATTGCAAATTGTTCAAGGATAAATCGTCCAGCGATGGAGCTTCAATCTTTAATGAGCAAAATTGACGAAAATGCAAATCCGAAGGATGAGGTAATAGCATTTGTTCGTCAAGAAGTTGATAAGTGGCTTAAGTTTGCCAGTAAATTTCATCCTTTGTATGAAAAACGAGCGACGACATTTTTGGACGACGAGCGAAAAAGATCCTTTGACTTGATTGAATCGGAGGAACTTCGAACTCTTGTTGTTGTTCCTGCAGCACTGATGTTACAATGGAAAAGTGAAATTGAGTCTAAAGTGAAATCATCTCGAGGATTAAGGGTTTTTTTGTATCATGGAGTGAACAAGTTAATTACGAACACTGAGTTGGAGTTGTTTGACTTTGTTGTTACTACCTATGATACCCTAACAAATTCCGCCCAATTTGCACTAACACCCATATTTGATGATAAAAATGTGTCATTCAACAGAAAAGAAGCAGGACCTTTGTTTCATGTGAGATGGAAACGCATTATTCTGGATGAAGCACACATGATTCGTCACGCTAACACACAGCGCTGGCGAGCTGTTAAAGAATTACAGGGATTTCATCGGTGGGTTGTTACAGCGACACCTCTTCACAATACTGTTGAAGATATTCAGAATCTTCTTCATTTTGTTGGCTTACCTCGTCTACCTTTACTTCCAGGCTGTAATCCAGAGGAAGTTCTTAATGACCCTGTTTTGCAGCGGGGCATAGCTCGTTCAATACAACCTGCTTTTTTGCGTCGTGGACCAGTCATGATCCGTAATGGGAAGAAGGAAGTTTTGGTTGATCTTCCTCCCAAAACAGAGATTGTTGTGAAGAAGCGTTTTTCTATTCAAGAATCTAAGCAATACAATAGTATTCTTGCTCGCTCGAGAACTGCATTAGCGTCTTCGGAACGCAGGGAAGGTGCTTTTCATATTTTTGCTATGATGACGCGTTTGCGACAAGCCTGTTGTCACCCATGGATTAGCGAAGGCCGAGCACTATCTGTATCTGTCTGCGGCATTTGTAAAAGCGAGGCGGTGTCAGCGGTAACTACCAAATGTGGTCATTGTTTTTGTCACGAATGTCTTTTTTTCCGTTTTCGTGAGGCTGTTGATGGTGAAAATATGGCTGTAAGATTGCCTTGTCCTACATGTGGGACTACTATTACCAACAGCTCTGTTTTTAGAAACAACACTCTCACCTCTGCAGAACGTATTGCAAACTTTAAAAAGCGCAAGTTGGAGATGAGCACGAAACTACAAATGGTATTGGATTCTATTGATTTGATGAGAAAAGAATATCCCGATGACAAGATGATTATTTTCTCACATTTTACTTCTTTCATGGATGTTATATCAGTGGCTCTTGATGGGTTGAATATTTCACACTTACGGTTGGATGGTACAATGACACTGAGTAATCGCAATGTTGTCATTCGTCGTTTTCAAACAAGTGATGACGTCCGCGTTATTCTTGCTAGCAAAACAGCAACGGGTGTTGGTCTGAATCTTACGGCGGCAAACCATGTATTGGTGGTTGATCCGTGGTGGAACCCTGCTATTGAAGAGCAGGCAGTTCATCGCTGCTACCGTATTGGTCAGAAAAAGCATGTGCATGTTACCCGCATCATTATTGAAGACACCATTGAACAGTACTGTTACGAGATTTGCCAGAGGAAAAAAGAATTTGGTGATGCCATCTTGCGGGCTGCAACCAAGGGAGATTCCGGTGCGTCGATGGCAGCTTCGAAACTCAAAGAACTGCTCTCTCGCCTAAATTATGTTCCCGAGAAGGTCACGACGAAGATTAAGGGAACTGAGTGTGATGTAGTGCAGTGAGAGTCAAAGAAGAAAAAGCCAGATTTTTGTGCTGTTGAGAGAAAAAAAAGTGAATGAAAAAGAATGGAAGCACGAAAAAGTGAATTGCTGCTCTATGAGCCTTGAGGAGTTTATTTATTTATTTATTAATAGATATGGGAGGTTCATGAGTTACTTATGTATTTATTTTGTTTATTATTATTGCATGCTATTTATTTTATTTTATTTATTTATTTATTATTGTTGTCTTAGAACGTTTTAGTGTTTGACTTTCCTTCTGAGAATATATATTTTCGAGGAAACGTACTAGTTAGCGCCCGTCACCCTCTATGAAACACGCATACATACATACATACATACATACATATATATACATACATACATACATATATAAACGTATAAGCATAGTACCAACACCCGCATAGAACCGTTTTGTCTTGCTTTCAATGACATACTCTGGAGTAACACAAGCCTCTTTAGGCCAGTATGTTTCACCGACGCTGCGACCCACAAACCCATGGGCTCAACAAATATTCACCGGCACTTTTAGACCACCAAATCCACTAGCGTACTGTTTGCCTCACGAAAAGGGTGAACAGGCAGTGACTGAGGAAAGTGTTTTTCGTTTCTCATCTTTTTCGAGTGGTCATTGTTCCATGCTCGCGGATCAAACTCAGTCCCACGCCTATTATGGTGAGGACTCCAGCTACACTATGGAAAGAATCATGAGCATGGTTGTAAGTGCAGTGGGACAAGAACGAGACAAATTTGCTGCACTGCAAGAAGGTAATCATGTTTTAGAGCAGGAGTTGAAACAGGTTCAAATGCGTCGAGAGGAGGCACAGCGTACATTGCGTGAGTTTGGGCATCTTTCACTGTCTCTCGCTGCTTTTCATCAAGAACAATTGCAGCTGCTTCAAGAATTACAACAACAATGACGGAGAATACAAGAACTAAGAAGAATGACGAGAGAAACACACACACACACACACACACAA